TTAAGGGTCGAGATACTGTCGGTCAACAAATTAATGTGACTTGTGAAGTACAGCAATTATTAGGAAATAATCGAGTTAGAGCTGTAGCTATGAGTGCTACGGATGGTCTAACGAGAGGAATGGAAGTGATTGATACGGGAGCTCCTTTAAGTGTTCCAGTCGGCGGAGCGACTCTAGGACGAATTTTCAACGTGCTTGGAGAGCCAGTTGATAATTTAGGCCCTGTAGATACTCGCACAACATCTCCTATTCATAAATCTGCGCCTGCCTTTATACAATTAGATACAAAATTCTCTATTTTCGAAACAGGAATTAAAGTAGTAGATCTTTTAGCCCCTTATCGTCGTGGAGGAAAGATTGGACTATTCGGGGGAGCTGGAGTGGGTAAAACAGTACTCATTATGGAATTGATCAACAACATTGCCAAAGCTCATGGGGGTGTATCCGTATTTGGCGGAGTAGGCGAACGTACTCGTGAAGGAAATGATCTTTACATGGAAATGAAAGAATCTGGAGTCATTAATGAACAAAATCTTGCCGAATCAAAAGTAGCTCTAGTCTATGGTCAGATGAATGAACCGCCGGGAGCTCGTATGAGAGTTGGTTTGACTGCCCTAACTATGGCGGAATATTTCCGAGATGTTAATGAACAAGACGTACTTCTATTTATCGACAATATCTTCCGTTTCGTCCAAGCAGGATCCGAAGTATCCGCCTTATTGGGTAGAATGCCTTCTGCTGTAGGTTATCAACCCACCCTTAGTACCGAAATGGGTTCTTTACAAGAAAGAATTACTTCTACCAAAGAAGGGTCCATAACTTCTATTCAAGCAGTTTATGTACCTGCGGATGATTTGACCGACCCTGCTCCTGCCACGACATTTGCACATTTAGATGCTACTACCGTACTATCAAGAGGATTAGCTGCAAAAGGTATCTATCCGGCGGTAGATCCTTTAGACTCAACGTCAACTATGCTCCAACCTCGGATCGTTGGTGAGGAGCATTATGAAACCGCGCAAAGAGTTAAGCAAACTTTACAACGTTATAAAGAACTTCAGGACATTATAGCTATCCTTGGGTTGGACGAATTATCCGAAGAGGATCGCTTAACCGTAGCAAGAGCGCGAAAAATTGAGCGTTTCTTATCACAACCCTTTTTCGTAGCAGAAGTATTTACCGGTTCTCCGGGGAAATACGTTGGTCTAGCAGAAACAATTAGAGGGTTTAAATTGATCCTTTCCGGAGAATTAGATGGTCTTCCTGAACAGGCCTTTTACTTAGTAGGTAACATCGATGAAGCTACTGCGAAGGCTACGCAATTAGAAATGGAGAGCAAATTGAAGAAATGACCTTAAATCTTTGTGTACTGACTCCTAATCGAATTGTTTGGGATTCAGAAGTAAAAGAAATCATTTTATCTACTAATAGTGGGCAAATTGGCGTATTACCAAATCACGCGCCTATTGCCACCGCTGTAGATATAGGTATTTTGAGAATACGCCTTAATGACCAATGGTTAACGATGGCTCTAATGGGTGGTTTTGCTAGAATAGGCAATAATGAAATCACTATTTTAGTAAATGATGCCGAGAAGAGCAGTGACATCGATCCACAAGAAGCTCAGCAAACTCTTGAAATAGCGGAAGCTAACCTGAGGAAAGCTGAAGGCAAGAGACAAACAATTGAGGCAAATCTAGCTCTCAGACGAGCTCGGACACGAGTCGAGGCTATCAATGCGATTTCGTAACTAGGTGCCAAATAATCAAAAGAACTTCTGTATAAAAGAAAGAGATTCTGATATAACAAAAAATTTATAAAAAAAAATAGGATGGAAAAGATAAAAAATCAATAAAAGAAAAAAAAAAGAGGGTGGGTAGAAAAACTTATTAGACACCGTAATCAATGGTATCTAATAAGTTCTACCTACTATTGGATTTGAACCAATGACTCTCGCCGTATGAAAGCAATACTCTAACCACTGAGTTAAGTAGGTCATTTATCATCATAAAGAGAAACAAAAAAAATGGACACCTATCACATCGATGGATTATAAATCCAATATTACTTATAAGCAATATCAATCAAAGAGATCGATGTTGGATCATGTAATATTCATCTTGACAAGAAATTATCTACATAATATGATAAGATAAAATGTGTATCACAAACATAAGAAACATAAGGGCTATAGCTCAGTCGGTAGAGCACCTCGTTTACACGTGCGCCAATGTTTTTCAGAGGAGTCCATCATGCAATCAAATGAATTGATTGATCTTATTGAGAAATCGATGTCTTACTCCATGACTTTTCGGGACCAAAACAAGAGAACAATAGCCTGACAAATGGAAGGGTTCGGTCCGATTTTGGTGCCCTTTTAGGTAGGAGCCAAATAGAACCCATCATTGATTTGAGATATTGATAGGGTGAATACCCAGTCTATTCAATGCTAGGCATAATGAGTATAAGGACCTCAAAAATTCTCTTTTCGTCCTATGAATCTTAAGGTGTATGAAGTTTCATGTTTGATTTTTTAATTAGGATGATAGAGACTCCATTTAACTTAGGTTGATCTAGGCCAGAAGCAAACCTACGTCAAGATAACCCTTCTTTGAAACACTTTGGTAGTGCTCCTGTATTGTATTAGAATTCAAATAATGAATCAGGGCACGTGGAGCCATTTTCTTATTTTTTCTTAAGAAAAAATATGGTAGACTAACTGAGATTTATATCAGTTAATGAAAAAGCCCAATGCAAAAAAAATGCATGTTGGGTCTTTGAAAGAGTTCGAATCATTTTGATAATAATCAGTTCGATTTCTTTTACCGAGAAGGTCTACGGTTCGAATCCGTATAGCCCTACCTATCCTATATTCCTATATTAAATAATTAATTAATAGTTTTAATTAATAGTTAATTAAACTAAACCTATCTTTATTTATTTATATATAAATAAATAAAGATATATAAATAATAAAGAATATTCAAATACAAAAAATTTTATAGGTTTTTCCTCATTATTGTTATTATATTCTTTCTTGTTTGTAACTGGTCCCTTCCGCTCGCTTGGTTCATCGAAATAAAATAATTCCCATAACACAAGCCTGCTCGTATGGGGATCGTTCAGAGCAAAACTTAAAATAAAAGCTCATTTCATTTCAACGTATCCAATCACTATATAGATTTCTAATCTCAGATAAACAAACCCATTTTTCTTCATTAATCTTCGTAGGCGGATTGATTATATATGAATTTTCATCTTTTACTGTCTACAATCAAAGAGTTAGTGATACTTCTTTTTTTGTATACCCACCGAATCTTGGTGAATTTGTGGAGTCAAAATTTTGACATGAACCCGGTTAAAGATAAAAACTCAAACCTAACTCAACCCGAATCTAATCTAATAGTAAGTCCCATGGTTCTAGTAAGGCCTTACTGCATTTGTTGACACGTCAGAGTTTGAAAAACAAAGATATTTTCATAAAACATAAACATAATTTCATAAACATAAAAAACATAATAATATGTTAATATAATATTTTTTCATTTTTTATATAAATATAAATATAAAGAATATATAAAAATATAAATAAATAATCATAAAAATAGAAAATAATATTAAAAATAGAATAAGAAATAGATAATAGAATAGATTTCGAATTTTTATTTAATATTTTTGAATTTATAATACTCTAATACATATTATAATTAAATGACTAATACATATTATAATTAAATGAGAATTCTATTTAGTTTAGAATTCCCACTGTATTTTTTTTTTATTTAGAAAGATATGTTTAGAAAAATACGAAGGGAGGCGAAAGCGAGAAAGTTTGATTTGTTTTGTATAAGGGAAATCGATATTTATTTATACTATTTCGACCTATATCGAAAAATAAGTGTAATGAAAATAGGAGATTAAATCAATAAATCTTAAAACGAGACATGTACCATAGCAAACAAATGAAACTAGACGATTCAATCAAACTCAATTTTTGTTTTGACTAAACAAAACAGTTATGTATTACTTGACAATCAATTCCAATTCGAATCGACTAATCCGGTATATTTTCCACATTCATAGGAGTTCCTCTATGTTTCTGCTTTACGAATATGATATTTTCTGGGCATTTCTAATAATATCAAGTGCTATTCCTATTTTGGCATTTCTAATTTCCGGAGTTTTAGCTCCAATTAACAAAGGCCCAGAGAAACTGTCTAGTTATGAATCGGGTATAGAACCGATGGGCGATGCTTGGTTACAATTTCGAATTCGTTATTATATGTTTGCTCTAGTTTTTGTTGTTTTTGATGTTGAAACAGTTTTTCTTTATCCATGGGCAATGAGTTTCGATGTATTGGGGGTATCCGTTTTTATAGAAGCTTTAATTTTTGTGCTTATCCTAATTGTTGGTTCAGTTTATGCGTGGCGAAAAGGAGCATTGGAATGGTCTTAGTTCCTGAATATTCAGACAATAACAATAAAAAGAAAAAAGTCAAAAAAATTAAGAACATTGAGACAATTATGAATTCCATTGAGTTTCCCTTACTTGATCGAACAACCCAAAATTCAGTTATTTCAACTACATTAAACGATCTTTCAAATTGGTCAAGACTTTCCAGTTTATGGCCGCTTCTTTATGGTACCAGTTGTTGCTTCATTGAATTTGCCTCATTAATAGGTTCACGATTTGACTTTGATCGTTATGGACTGGTACCAAGATCGAGTCCTAGACAGGCAGACCTAATTTTAACAGCCGGCACAGTAACAATGAAAATGGCTCCTTCTTTAGTAAGATTGTATGAACAAATGCCCGAACCAAAGTATGTTATTGCTATGGGAGCGTGTACAATTACAGGAGGGATGTTTAGTACCGATTCTTATAGTACTGTTCGAGGGGTTGATAAGCTAATTCCTGTGGATGTTTATTTGCCGGGCTGTCCACCTAAACCAGAGGCAGTTATAGATGCTATAACAAAACTTCGTAAGAAAATTTCTCGAGAAATCTATGAAGATAGAATTCGATCTCAACAGGGGAATCGGTGTTTTACTACCAATCACAAGTTCCTTTTTGTACGCAGTACGCATACTGGAAATTATGATCAAGAATTACTCTATCAACCATCATCTACTTCAGAGATCCCTACTGAAACATTTTTCAAATACAAAAGTTCAGTCTCTTCCCGCGAATTAGTAAATTAGGCTCTACCCTACAGAATAAGAAAACAGCGAATTAATCTGCATAAATTGGAGTTCATCGTAAATGTGAAATGAAATACTTATCTTATACAAAAAAAGTGCGGGGGAAATAAAAAAGATGCAGGGCCATTTGTCTGTTTGGCTAGTCAAACACGGGCTGGTTCATAGATCTTTGGGCTTCGATTACCAAGGAATAGAGACTTTACAAATAAAGCCCGAGGATTGGCATTCCATTGCTGTAATTTTATATGTATATGGTTACAATTATCTACGTTCCCAATGCGCCTATGATGTGGCACCAGGCGGACTCTTAGCCAGCGTGTATCATCTTACGAGAATAGAATATGGCGTAGATCAACCGGAAGAAGTATGCATAAAAGTATTTGCTCCAAGGAGCAATCCTAGAATTCCATCTGTTTTCTGGGTTTGGAAAAGTGCGGATTTTCAAGAACGGGAATCTTATGATATGTTGGGAATCTCTTATGATAATCATCCACGACTGAAACGTATCTTAATGCCCGAAAGTTGGATAGGGTGGCCTTTACGTAAGGATTATATTGCCCCCAATTTTTATGAAATACAAGATGCTCATTGAATGATAAGAAAGTAGTCTTTACTACAGATATTCAAATTTGTACGTTCTATTCTCTTCTAGATCAAATAGACCAAACAGAGTAATTGAGATCTCATTCGTATTATTTATTATGTTATTATGGATAGGCTAAGGCTAAGAGATTCTCAAATTGGAAAGATACTTATTTCGTATAAGCCAAGCCAATAGGATGAACTAAACGAGTTCTGCACCATGAACTTTGTATCGCGCACATCACTTAGCGGGCTCTAGCTATAAGGTCATATAAGAGGGAATGAATAAATAGAATATGAAAGAAAAAGAAATAAATAAAAAGGGATGGGATTCCATTTGTACTGTATCTGAAATCTATCTTGGATATTTCCACCCTTGAACTCTAGACTTTTTTTTGTTGAGTCTTTCAACCAAGTAATTTAACCTTTCGAATATGTATGAAGTATTAACATTCTCTTTGAACGAGAGGAACCACAGCATGAACAAATAAAAAAGAAAAGAAGAGGAAGGATAATTGAATTTTTTCTTTTACTACATATACATACTTTATATACTCTTTACTCATCGAAAAATCTAAAAAAGGTGTATTTCCAGACACTTAGATCAATAAGTATGTATTATGGTCAACCCATAATTAAATAATTTGTAGAATAGAGACTCATACAAATTCATCTTATGTCAGGAACCAGATTTGAACTGGTGACACGAGGATTTTCAGTCCTCTGCTCTACCAACTGAGCTATCCCGACCATTCCCGAAGTATCATCCTCATTTTACTAGATGACTTGGGTCTATGTCAATTAAAACAAAAAAAGTATTAAATTGAAAGTCTGGAGGCGGGAATTTCTTGGATCTTCAAAAAGAAGATTTTGTAAGTTTCAGTATGAATAATGATATGGATTGTAAATCGGGTATTTCTTGCTCAAAGATGTTCATTTGTACGTGTATCATATATACCACAAGACTTGTAATAAGTAATAATAGAAAAAATTCTGCTTGGATACGTTTGTAATAGGATGAATGAAAAAGATAATGAATTTTGAATAACTAAAAAAAAAGAAAAAGAGAGGGTAGGATAAAGATAAATAGGTAGGGCGTCAAACAGACTTTTTTGGGGATAGAGGGACTTGAACCCTCACGACTTTTTTAAGTCGACGGATTTTCATCTTACTATAAATTTCATTGTTGTCGCTATTGACATGTAGAATGGGACTCTATCTTTATTCTCGTCCGATTAATCAGTTCTTGAAAAGATCTATCAGACTATGGAGTGAATGGTTTGATCAATGAATATTCGATTTTTTCTTCAACTTTGAATTGATTCACAACAAAACAATTCTTTTTTTTTCATATAAAAAAAAAAAAAAATCCATATTCGGGTCACCATTTTTGAGATAGTTTTAAATTACTTATACCTATTTAGATAAGGTTATCCCTTCATCTTTTCTGGAGGTTCGATAGAAGGATTCCTTTACCAACACAAGGTAATGAACTCCATTTGTTAGAACAGCTTCCATTGAGTCTCTGCACCTATCCCCCTTTTCTCGCTTTCTGAACTCTTGTTTTGTTTGTTCTCGTAAAACAGGATTTGGCTCAGGATTGCCCATTTTTAATTCCAGGGTTTCTCTGAATTTGAAAGTTATCACTTAGTAGGTTTCCATACCAAGGCTCAATCCAATTAAGTCCGTAGCGTCTACCGATTTCGCCATATCCCCCCTTTTTTTGTTTTGCTTTGAGATTGGGATCTCATCTCATTATGATGCCCTTCCCCCTTTTTCTTTTATTATGCCGAAACCCTTGAATTCATTAGATATAGATACCGATTCTTATATTGAAAAGTGTTTCATTTTTTGTCTATCATCTTTCATGTCTATTGGTATTTTGGAGACCCATATTTTATTTGGTCTAATCAGAAATGATTCTATCATTTCTGTATTCGCAATTCAATATAGATGGATATATACTACATAACATATATGTATATTCCTCTTATTCTCATTTTTGTTTGCAATTTGGTGAAATACTCAAACGATCGATTCTTTTTTTTTCGTCTGAGCTTCCATGAAAGAAAACTAAACGGAGAATGTTTCATTCTAATGAGCATTGCATTTATCTGGGTTGCATCTTTCTATTCTATATTCATTTCATTTTATTATTATTATTAATTAATTAATTAATAATTAATTAATTAATAATTTTTTCAATTTTGAATTATTTATGTTTCTCATTTTTTAGAATTTATAGTATTCTAATTTATAGTACAATAGCTATAAGTAATCATTCCATTAATATGAATTTAGAATCCTAAGATAATTCCATTAATTTAGTCTAAAAAGCCCAATTATTTATTATTTAGACTTAGCATTCTATACTATAATGTGTAAAAAGATTCTAAATCTAATTATTAGATTCTATTTCGAATTCTAAATCTATTTATTTAGAAATAGAAATATAAAAATGGATAAATAAATCAATTTATGAATATTATATAATATATTAATATATGTAATAAGAAAAATTAGAAATGAAATAAAATAATAATAATAATAGAATAATAAAATTAGGTTCGAACAGAAAAAACAATAATTTCAAATCAGATGTCATTTAATGGATTTCCTATCTAATTAAGATGTTTATTATTGCTAAACTTAAAAAAGAAATCGAAATTCTAGATTAACTATATATAATCTAATTATAGTTATGTTCTATTCTAGAATATTCAATATTTATTTGAAATTCTATTCTATATTAATTATGAATAGCTAAGAAATGAATAGTTAATAGATAAAGTTTACTGAATTCCTATGCATGTACAATTTCGGTTATTTGAGCCCGCTTAGCTCAGAGGTTAGAGCATCGCATTTGTAATGCGATGGTCATCGGTTCGATTCCGATAGCCGGCTTTTCTCGATTTGTTTGATTTTTTACATGATTGATAATGCCTTTTTAAAATCAAAGAACATTGAAAAGACTTCTTCCCCTTTTTCCAAGAGTCACTAATATATTCATATTATGTCATAGAAACTTCCAATTATGAATCAAACTTGGAAGAGTTAGGTCTTCGCAGAATAAATCAAGAAAAAAAAGGAAAATTCTTTTGATTTATTTGATTTATGTATATTGTATATACAATACAATCTGGATCTGGATATGGATGCAATTGATCTCATTATTCTTTGTAGTACAATACTTTAGTGGATTTCGCTTCATTTCTCAGTTAGTTCAGTTTTAATTTCTTTTAGGTTTATCAAATTTCAATAAAAATAAGGAGTCTTTATGTCACGTTACCGAGGGCCTCGTTTCAAAAAAATACGCCGTCTGGGGGCTTTACCGGGACTAACTAGTCAAAGGCCTAGAGCAGGAAGCGATCTTAGAAACCAATCGCGCTCCGGAAAAAAATCTCAATATCGTATTCGTTTAGAAGAAAAACAAAAATTGCGTTTTCATTATGGTCTTACGGAACGACAATTACTTAAATACGTCCGTATCGCCGGAAAAGCCAAAGGGTCAACAGGTCAGGTTTTACTACAATTACTTGAAATGCGTTTGGATAACATCCTTTTTCGAATGGGTATGGCGTTGACTATTCCTCAAGCCCGCCAATTAGTTAACCATAGACATATTTTAGTTAATGGTCGTATAGTAGATATACCAAGTTATCGCTGCAAACCCCGAGATACTATTACAGTGAAGGATGAACAAAAATCTAGAGCTTTGATTCAAAGTTTTCTTGATTCATCCACCCATGAGGAATTGCCAAACCATTTGACTCTTCACACATTCCAATATGAAGGATTAGTCAATCAAATAATAGATAGAAAATGGGTCGGTTTGAAAATAAATGAATTACTTGTCGTAGAATATTATTCTCGTCAGACTTAAAACTAACTTAACTAAAATAAGAAAACAAGAGTTCGTACAACTTTGCCCCCTTTTGCCTAAGTTAAGGTTAAGTAAAGGGGCACAAGGTAAGGGATTTGTCCGGGGCTTTTTATCCCCATTCGACTTTTTTCCCATTCATGTAGCATAAATCAGTAGGGAGATTTACATCCCTTGTTTGCTCTTTCCAGTATTTTCCGTATCAAAGAAATTAGGAATAGAGAATCTATATCAAAGAAAGGTCTAACTCTTTGGTCTCAATTGTTATTTGATTTGAAACATTGTGGTCAGTAACGTAAGATTGGTGAATTCGTTGAAAATACGGAAAGAGAGGGATTCGAACCCTCGGTAAACAAAAGCCTACATAGCAGTTCCAATGCTACACCTTAAACCACTCGGCCATCTCTCCTACATAATGATTATGACTGAGCACCTGGGTGAATAGCGAGTTATTCATATTTTTTTTTAGACTATATTTAATGGATACCTTTAGCTCATAATTCTATTTAGACTCTAATTCTAATTCCATTTCCATAAGAATTCTAAAATTCCTTTCCGGTTTTACATCCCTCAACAACAACCCCTTACCCCGTAGATCTATTACAAACACCCCGCGCATCTATTACAAATTCATAAATCATTTCAGGGATTTTTATTTTTTTTTTTTTATTATTTTATTTGCAATTTGATTGTCTAGTGTATACCCGCTATGCACAAAAGAAAAGACAAAACAAAAACGGGCGGTTTTTCTATTTTCATCATAGAACAATTCTTCGATTATTTTTCCTCTTTGGATCATAATTTAATCAAAACTTTTCGAATTATCCTAATCTCCAATCTATGCTAAAATCTATCCTAATCTAATTCTTTGATTCTTCAACTTCGATGAAATCGAAGTAGTTACTTTCAGTCTTATACTAATATACTCAAAAATTAGTAATAAATTTTGATGAAATCGAATTGGATTCAAACCAATATTTCTTATTTTTGATTGATTTTGATTCCTGTCAAAAAAAAAATTGAAGTAGAAGGTTTTTTTTTCATTTTCATGAGTCGGCGCTTTTATGTTAATTCGTACTGTACAATTCCTTTGTTTGTGGGATCATTTTCTCACAAGAGGTAATGAAAAGAGTTATGGAATGGATTACTACCTATGCCTAGATCGCGTATAAATGGAAATTTTATTGATAAAACCTTTTCAATTGTGGCCAATATCTTATTACGAATAATTCCGACAACCTCGGGAGAAAAAGAGGCATTTACCTATTACAGAGATGGTGCGATTTGATTTTGATTATCATTATTTTTTTTTTTCTTTATTTACCGCTCCCCGTCTTAGGAATAGGAAAAAGACATATGATTCGGGGTATAAAGAAAAAAGATTATTGAAATAAATCTACGCTTCTTGAAGGTGAAGTTTATAATATAAATAAAACAATCCCTTCTGTCGTGTATCCACGATTAATGCAGCCTTAGATGCTTCAATTGTTGATTCTAGTATTGAGCGAAAGGTTACACCTATGGTTTTGGATTGCAGGTCAAAAATCCCTACTACACTAATACCAATAGGCGGCATAGGGGAAGAAGCACTACGCCTAGAAATCAACAACACAAAAACTTTGTTCTAAATTACTCCTTTTCCTTCATCGGGATCGGGACTAAGAAAAATGGTTGGGCCAACAAACATCCATCTCGTTCGTACTTTGGATACCCGTATAACCATTGAAGACTGTTGAAGTGACTAATTCCTGGAAATTAAGGGGCGTTGAGAACAAAGAAATTGTTGGAGTTTCTTTTTTGATTTTTATCTAGTATCACAACACGCTTGGTGTTAAGAAAAGATCTTTTGCAGGAAGGTTGGCTAGAGATTTCTTGTAAAAACATTAGCCCCGCCCAGTTCATAATGACATCAACCTTTTTCCATATATTATTCTCATTATGCACATAACGGAGGAGCCGTATGAGATGAAAATCTCATGTACGGTTCTGAAACGGAGAATTCTTTAAATCGAATAACGACCGTAACGGATGTCGGCTCAATCCGAAGGAAATTATGCGGAAGCATTGCAGAATTATTATGAAGCTATGCGACTAGAAATTGATCCCTATGATCGAAGCTATATACTCTATAACATAGGCCTTATCCACACAAGTAACGGAGAACATACGAAAGCTTTAGAATATTATTTTCGGGCATTAGAACGAAACCCGTTCTTACCCCAAGCTTTTAATAATATGGCTGTGATCTGTCATTACGTGCGACTATCTCCACTATAGAAAAAAAGGAAAGAAAGAGCAGCTAGTAAATTTAATACTAGAAAAAAAAATAGGCTTTCTACATATGCATCGTCCAAAAAACGATTTTTATCAGCTGTAGCAAAGAAATAAACTTCATAGAAGTCGAACTATGAAGAATAGATATGCCTAAATACTTTATTCTATGGATAAAGGATCTAATTGATAGAGGAAGCACCGTAAAGATCAATTAGCGAGGTTTTGGGCCGATACAATAAGAACTGCTTATTTATGTCATGATATGAGATAAAAGTTCGGAATCAACTTATGTAATAGAGTCGATCCCTTAAGGTATTGAGCAGCGGTGTAGCATCAGATCCTAAAGACAGTAGGTCTTTTTATGAAGAAAAGTCTTTTTCAAAGATTCTATATAAATTTCTATATGAAAACGAAACCGAGATAGTTACCTTTCAGAAAATTCTAACAATAGTCGAAATGCCTATGCTTTATTTATTTTTTTTTTTTTTCTGAAGGTGGGAGAAAAGATAAGCTAAAACTGATTATTATATTAATTTAATCAAAATTCAAGTTTGAAACTCAT